CCAGCTATACAAGACTCTGCTTCTCTCCCAAAACTGACCAGTATGTCTTTGGCACCAAAGATCTACAATGACATCATGCTACTCCACCTAAGTCCTTTACCAATCAGAAATCCCGGATGCAAGGCTTAGCTATGCTGTTCTAAATCATGACGGTGGACAAATGCCTAATATATCAGAGGCCAAGTTTACCTACCTGCCACCGCCCACCTCATAGGAACTATGGGAAAAGCTTGTCATTGCTTAAAAGAAGAAAAACATGTTTTGTTATCAGAGAACAAAATATAAAAGGAAACCTTAGATCACATGGCACATTCCCAAACGCCCACAGCTTACCCCTTTGCTGATGTAGCCCGACAGCAGGAGAGAGCCTATGATAATGAGAAAGGCGCCGATCAAAAACAGCACAGTGGCAAGTGCAATGGCCTTATAAGGTATCTTAGGAGGGCTTTTCTTAAACTGGAAGAGAAACAAAAACAAAAAAGACAAAGAATAACATATGAAAATAGCAGGGCTCAAACACTTGAAAACAGGGAAGATAATTAAGAACCAAACTGGATACTTCATGTGTCTTGAAGTATGTCCTACTACCCAGGGTGACTCTGGGAAAGAAAGGAAAGGGACAGGCAGGAGATGAAGCTCTAGTTATTGGGTCTAAACTCACTCAAAAAAGTCCCAGTAAAATGTCATCCTTTCTATTTCTAATCTCATCCCACAGATCATCCATTGTACCATAAGAAACTTTTTTTTTTTTTTTTTTTTTACAAAAACAGAAACTACTTATGGTCATTCATTCATTAGACATATATTTATTAAGTGACTGGCACATTTATTTTTCCATAGCATGGTGTTCACTCTTAAATCTACACCAAGAGTGAAAACCATGCAATGGAGAAATAAAGAAAATAAGTGATTCCTGGCATTCAAAGTTAAATCAGCATATAGTCAAAGGTTTTAGAAACAGACAATTTCAGCTTTTTCTGAAGCATTACGTGCTTGCTCCATGGAGCAAATAACCTGCCTTATGAAAAAGCTTAATTTAAGGTTAAGATTCAGAGACAAACTTTCTAAGGTTTTGCTCATGGCTGTATATGACCTAACTGGCTGGAAGCTTCCCAGATCTATTTTTATCTCTCCATCAACTGCGAGTCCAAAGAGTATAGGGAATAATTGATTTATTTATATTTAAAAGCATAGGGCCTGTTACTTCCTCCTTGGCCCTAGTTTCACCTAGAATAGTCTATTCTAAGGGGAAGGGGGCAAAAGGAGATGTTATACTATGGATTATTATTATTTTTTTTTTGTAATGGGCACTTCTCATTGGTGCAAAAGTATTTATTTATTTATTTTTATTGAATAGTCTATTCTAAGGGGAAGGGGGCAAAAGGAGATGTTATACTATGGATTATTATTATTATTATTTTGTAATGGGCACTTCTCATTGGTGCAAAAGTATTTATTTATTTATTTTTATTTTTATTTTTATTTTGTTACTATGGATTATTTTATAAATAATGGTCAGGGTAGAATACAACTTAATAAATATTCTCTGTTTACTTACTGTTTGTCACAAAGAATACCTTTAATAAACTGGATCTCATCAAATAAAGGGGGGGCGGAAGAAGACACAACAATCACTTATTTGTGGAAGCAATAAACAAACAAACAAACAAATAAATACACAAAGAAATTGGATCTCGTGCCATCAGGAAACAAGGAAGATTCTCACAATCTGCTGGCTTTGGCACTTAGTTTCTCTCTTAAAAGATGAACTGGCTTTGACTAGAGGCAAATAAACCAGTGACACAGTCCTTAAAAAAAACTCCACTTAACAAAACACAATCTTTTTTTCATGGTGGCTGGCTGGTATGGGGAACTAAACCCTTTTCCTTGGTGTTACAAGGCCGTGCTCTAACCAACTGAGCTAACCAACCAGCCAACACAATCTGATTATTTTTTTGATAAACTAAATAAAACTTGCAACTAGAAGGCTCTAAGAGTTACAACTGAAAATTCTTAGAAATGGACAATATTGGAATTGGTTCAAAACTGCCCTGCCAAAGTCCTCTTCTGCAAGTTACGGCTAAAAGTGTTTTAAAGCTGAGTTTATTTCCTGCTGCTCCTTCTAAACCTCAGGGATAGTTAGCAAAACCTCCACCTGGAAGGCCTCTCTGCTAACTCAACAGAAATATAGCCATGTAGTCTTGTCAGTTCCCTTCTGCATGTACCTGAAGGTCAATATAGTCATCCTCTGTGCTGGATAGCCTTGAGTATTTCACTTTACTACCGGGGATTCCAGTAGCCAGATTGGTAAGAGATGGCATCATAACACGCTGATAAAACTACAGTTTGAAAACAGAAAAAAACAGTTGTTATTGTCTGTAGGCAACAATGCTGTGTTACAGCCAATATGTTCAGATGCTACATACTGGAGTTTTGGGCTGCCATGTCATACTTGCAACTGGCACAATTTAGGCTTCACTTCTTTTAGAATCTGACATTCCTCTGACACAGTGAAAACATTCTTATCATGAATCTACTCTGGTTAGTCCTCACAGAATGATAGCCTAAACATTCACCAAGAACTAGACCACGGTTTATCCTGCCATCAATGTTTCCAGCTTCCTAATCTTTTCAAAGTCACAGAGGAGTAGGTGGATGAGTGGTGACTTAAACCTGGGTCCACCTAACACCAAAGTCCACATTTTCAACCACTCCACTATAGTATTGTCTGTCCGTTACCCCTGCTTAGGAGCATATACTTAAGTGATTCTCCTATTTGCTAGGGAGAGAGGAGAAGGCAGTGAATGGAATACACTCACACCAGCATTTTGCCAATTTCCACTTGATGGATATTATCCTCTTAATGCAAAGGATCTGTATAGCTTCCTGTAAATTTGGATAAACTCCTGGCTATCAGTACTATACCAGTACCTTTGGAATGCCTGCCTCTCTGCCCCACCCCAAGCACTGAAAATAGTGATTTCATTTTCCAGATTATCTCTGTAGCTACCTAAGAAAACTGGATAAAAATTCTGGTTTATTGTTCAAAATACTCAAAGCAGACAGCATAATGAAATCATAGCTATTTTGTCACCAGCTTAAGAGACAAAAGATAAGATTTTAAAACAGTGATATTTAAATCATAAAAATTCGTAATCTGTACACTTCTCCCCCATTAGGTCACAAAGTTATGTGAACAAAACAAGTAAATCTATTTTGATCGCAAAGCTATTTGAATTCGAAATGCAAAAACACATCTTTAAAAACAGAAAATTAAGTATTTTAATAAAGACAGCATTAAAAACCCCCCAAAACTCGCCTTTCTCTGGTATGACATTTTGTAAATCACCATCATTATCATCATCATAATGGCAGTCAGTACTTCTCTAGACTTAGGTGCCAGGCACTGTTCTAAGTGCTTTACACAAACTTCCAAAAATTAACATGCTGTTTTAAGTGGCTTGCATCTAAAACAAGCAGCCTTATGAAAGAATGAGTACTAAATGATCATGTCCCTTTTTATGAATTACATCCTGGTGTAGAAATCAAGTATTGAAAGAATAAGAGTAATGATAATCTGTATGCTTTTCTAAAAGGGTTAGCTCAAACTGCAACAAATACTAGGTTTTTAGTGTCGCGATCCCGATTAAGTGATAATCTGCTTAATTCTATAAAGCTTAAAATTCAAACTACTAACATATGGGGGTTTAGTCACATCCGATTTGTATTAGTCTTTTAAAAAAAAATTATGTACCCTGCCATTACCTATTCATACACCCACAACAAAATATAAAAAATCGCAGTGCGTGAGGGAGAGGAAGGAGGAATGTTTATTCTTCGCAAAGAGAACGCATTCTAAAGAGGGGAAAAGGAAAAACGTCAATCGACAGAATATCGTCAAACTATCAGTCCAAGTTCCCAACAGGCTTTTCATCAGCTACACCGTAATCCCCCAATTCCCCGAATACCTGAATGTTGCAAGAATTATAAAAGCATCAGTACTGGGCTGGCACAGTGCCTGGCACTAGGCGCCTCTATTTACGCTATTTTCCTGCCCTTCTCCAGACGTCGCCAGGGAAAAAAGAGCCGACGTTAATTTAGAAATAAAACAAAACTGGTTTTTGGAATGAGGCCAACAGTGTTTAGGCGGGCGAACTCGCCACGCCAAAGGTCCCGGGCTTGATTTTGGCGGGAGCGCGAGCACGGCCACGCCGAGAGCCCGAGGAGGGCGCTTCTGTTCCCGCCCCGCCGCACGCACGCCTTACCGAAGGGTCACGCCAGGCCCCTAGCGCGCACAGAACTCGCCCACAGTTGGCAGCGCAGGCGCCTAAGGCAGCACGGCACAGCCCAGTTAATTGCCCCGCTCTCCCCAGCGAGGACCAGCGAGCCACCGGAAGTGGCGTGCAGGAAGGAGACGCGCCGGAAGTACGTCACGTGGAGCGACGTCACTTCATTGAGCTGCTTGGCGCGTTCGGTGCTCTCTTTTTCCTTCTCTTGGCGTCCTGCGGGGGCAATGGAGGCTCTGAGGAGGCACAGTTCGAGGGCCGCCCCGTGGGGTTTCGGCGGGCGGGCGGTACCTAGGGCTGCTGCCCACCTAGGTCATAGTTAGGCCCCGGTGAAGACCCCTACGTGGTTCCGTCCCTGACCCCACGGGGCAGGGTAGAGTGCAGTGGCGTCCCTGGGAGACGGAAAGCGAGCCAGTCAGAGCCTCTGGACTAACAACCAGACTTACCAGATTTCCATCTACTGCCCAATGCTGGCAGCCTTCCACTGGGACTCGCCGCGGTTTATGCGATCAGCGAATCACCACTACAGAGTAGCCCCACATTGTTGGGCTTGTTCCTCCTGGTCATCAACCCTTTCCCAGTAAAAGGCTTGCCCACAAGGGACATTTTGCTGCACACGAAGCTTTTTAAAAAGTCAGGTTTGGGCCGGCCCATGGCTCACTTGGGGAGTGTGGTGCTGATAACACCAAGGCCACGGGTTCGGATCTCTATGTAGGGATGGCCGGTTAGCTCACTTGGGAGAGTGTGGTGCTGATAACACCAAGGCCACGGGTTCGGATCTCTATGTAGGGATGGCCGGTTAGCTCACTTGGCAGAGCGTGGTGCTAGCAACACTAAATCAAGGGTTAAGATCCCCTTACCGGTCATCTTTTTTTTACTGATAACACCAAGGCCACGGGTTCGGATCTCTATGTAGGGATGGCCGGTTAGCTCACTTGGGAGAGCGTGGTGCTAGCAACACTAAATCAAGGGTTAAGATCCCCTTACCGGTCATCTTTTTGTTTAAGTCAGGTTTATTAAGGTGTAATTTGCATACAGTAAAGTACAATTGAATGGGTTCTGACAGTCGCATGCAGTCCTCAGAGTCACCAGTCTTCGTAAAGTACTCCCATCATTATCAAGTTCCATCAGGCCCCTTTGCAGCCAGTCTCCTTCTCCAACTTTATTATAAAATAGGTTTTGTGTTAGATTATTTTGCCCAACTATAATAATGTAAGTATTCTGAGCACATTTAAGGTAGGCTTAGGCTAAGCTGATGTTCAGTAGGTTAGGTGTACTAAATGCATTTTCAACTTGAGGATATTCTCAGTGTGCAATGGATTTATCAGGACTTATCCCCATCAGAAGTCGAGGAGCATCTGTACTAACTACTGGATACCAAAAAAACCCCCACCTACCTACAGGATACAGCGAGTTCTAACATCCAATAACTAGAAATCAGTCGAAGTAACATAAGAAACCAGTAACTTACCCAAACACAAAGTGCACTGGAAAAAAATTATAATAAAGTAATTTTCAATATGTGGCATAACAGTGACCTTGCAGCAGTTACTGGGAATGTTTAAGTCTTTCTTCGCAACTGCTGGGCCTTCACTTTCCTGGTTGGATCTAACATCCACAGAATTTAAACCACCTTCATCCTTAAAGGGAGTGAAGTCCCAAACAAGGCTACTTTCATACCAGAGAAACTTTTGTACAACTGTACTCCTTGGGCCCTATCATAGATTACTGAAACTTCCAAGACTCTTGTAAAAAAAAAACTCCCTTTTTTTAAACTAAAAAAAGAAACATTGGAAAAAATAAAAAAGAAAAAGAAATACTGTCCTGTAAAATACTAGTCTTATAAAGGCCACACAACTTTGGATACATCAAGCTTCTGAAAAGTGTTAACTTCTGCTAACAATCAAAATGATGAAATATATAGGCTCCCCTGTTCTTTGAGCTCAAGTTAGAATACTGTAATACCAAAGTAAGTTTGACAAATGAATCCCCCAAAATATCTAGCTGCCTACTGTATAGTGTTTTAAACACTTTTTATTGCTATCTCCACAATATATTCGTACCAGGCTGCTCTTGAAAAAGTAAGCATACTTACATAAAAGGGTAGCTGTAGCTGATAACTCAGTAGGATACTTGCAACAATTGTGGTCCAAATGAAAGCACTGCCCTCTGACATTTGAAATTCAAATAACTTTATTAAATTGAAAAACAATTCTTAAAACTGCATTTAAAATCAAGACTCTTTTGTTATAAAAAGCATAAGGAGTATGTCTAAGTAAGGCAGAAGTATTTCTAGGTTAAGACCAGATTTGACTTTAGCCTTTGGTCTTTAAACAAACTGCAGAGAATGGAAGAAAAAAATAGGTTATTTACAGAAAACAATATCTACATATGTATTCAGATGTACAAATTTGGTGACAGAAAAGACTTCAAGACTTCAGTATACGCTGGCATCTCAGAAGCAATTCTCAAAGAGTTTAATTTTATTTTCTTGTATTTTAAGACTGCTTCTTAAGATCCTTCTTCATCCTCGATCTTGGGAGCCAAATAGTACTTTAGATGTCCCATATCAGCAATTTTATACTCTACAACTGAAAGAAGACAAGATAGTTAATTACTGAGGAGCATCACATGTACTACCTACAAAACGAAGTTCAAATCTATTATCTTACCAAGGGGTACATCTGCAGACATACTGAGTGTTACTGTAGGAGAGAGTGGAGTGGCTTTTGTAAAGAAATTCAAGTACCTCAGTGCAAAAGTTAGTTGAACTGGCTCATTCATCTCTATAGTAACCTATAAGACAAAACAAAAGATTAGTCTTATTAAAAAAAAATCAAAGTATTTAGCCCTTCTTTCCTATATGAATGCTGTACCTCAGGTAATCAAATAATATAACATGGGAAAGCTTCTCTTTCTGGAAATACCTCTAACAAGTCAGCTAATAAAAGGAATGAAATTAATGTGGTAGTCACCCCCTTATCTATGGGAGATTAAGTTCCAAGGCCCTGTGGCTGCCTAAAACAACATATAGTACTGAAACCCGATTACCATCAATTGGAACATGTTTCTGTTCATGTCTTCCACCCACAAATTTAATGCCTTTTCCATCCTAACTAAGCACTTAACACACTGTGGCTGTAACTTCTGCAGTTTGAGGTGTGACAGCAAAACTACTGCCATTTTCCCATCTTCACAATTTCATGGACAGATTTGTTCTTACTTTAGATCTTAGCAACCTCAGCATATTTTTCTTTCCTTAAATTGAGAACTTTCATCTTTTCACTTAAAGGAAGCAGTTTATGGTTTCTCTCTGACATATCCGAATTGCCAACGTAACTACTCTAGTGCATTAGGGCCATGACTGAGTAAAATAAGATTCCTTGAACACAGGCTCCATAATACTGCAACCTAAAGGGTTACTAAGTGACTAACTGGTAGGTAGCATATACAGTGTGAATATACTGGATAAAGAGATGATTTATGTCCCAGGTGCGAAAAAATGAGATTTATCATGCTACTCAGAAGGGCATGCAATTTAAAACTTGTGATTGTTTATTTCTGGAATTGTCCATTTCATGTTTTGGACCACAATTGCCTGTGGAGAACTGAAGCCACAGAAAGTGAAACGAGGGGTAAGGGGGGAACTACTGTATATTCCAACTCTGCAAACCTTAATGACTTAATGGATGCAGACAATGACTATTACAGTTAACACTGCAAAAAGAAATCCTGATACCTCGTGCTTCCTACTCAAGGTGACACATCCCTACTTATCAAGTTTCTTGTC